TGTAAATAGTTCCATTCTAGCGCATCTGGTGGACTCAGACCATCGGGTGGATTCCAAAGAGGCCTTCCGAGTGATCTACAAGGTACCCTCAGGCTACTCAAAATTTCTTGGAAAGTGTCTGTTGGCTACGGTAGAAGCGGCCGCCATTAGGCTACGGCGACCGGTCCTGTGCGCCCAATAGAACTTCGTCGCGGCGCCGCAGTTACCATGGTCAAAAGCTGCTAATCTAACAGCCAGCAGCTTAGCACCTCAGCCAACTACCAGTTCCCCCTCATGCTGATCAGATTTTGACCCCCGTTCCTCCTCCGCCAATTCCCCCTGCCCTGACAACCGTTTTATTTTTCTAACAACTCTGACTGTAATATTGGACCGGCGCCAATATGTGTTTTACGGATAAGGCTACATTATAGAAAGGAGTAAACGATAAAGGTTTAGTGTTAAAAGTCGTTTGTATTTTAGAAACGGAGAGCTTAAAACCTATCCACAAAATTTTAGAAAATGTGGCTAAACAACGCAATCTAACCAAAAGTGAAAGATTATATCGTTAAGGGTAAAGCGATGAACCGCCAAAGTACCAGTGACTGAAAACCTACTAACCGACTAAGGAAACGTACACTGCCACCTAAAGAAGTCCCGTAAAAGAAACCGACGCGGTAGCACTGATTCAGAGTCAAAAGTTAAAGGAATGCAGGAGAAAGCGGGTAATAGCCAAGGCGGCAGCAACCTAAATCAAGCGACCAAAATGTGTCAAATCCTAGTTAATCACCTCTACTTTTAAAAATATAAGTAGATTTTTATAAGTATTCTTGTGAGTTAGGAATCACTGCGTTCATTCCGGTGGTACCTAACACAGGCCTACCAAATAAGTCATGGACTGGAACGTTTTTGTGCAGAATAGGAGCGTCTGCGCTGGTTAAGAACCCTTAAAACTTTAGTATCCGGGAGGTTTACCTGTCGGGGCCAGAAAATCTACCCAAACTGTCGTCTTTAAATGTGAATGACCTAATAGAACATAAGAACGGACAGAGTAAAATGCGCATTTATAGCAATAACGGTAATTTTGTACAAAATTAGTCAGGATCAACGTCTAGCACGGTCACGGGATCGACTGCGGCTGCGTGACCGCACCTTGCGGTGACGACGACCGCCCCCACCGGTTTCCCTCCGTGGGTTGGAGCCACCTTTTACAAAAGCCCAGTCCACCTGGATAGCTTGACCATTGAGCTCACTGCCATTTAGGTTGGTGAGTG